ATAGATGATTTGGATCGTTAAAGTTCGATGTGAGGGACTTGAGTTCCACAATTAATCCTCATTTTTTTGAAAAAAAAAAAAAGATCCTTTTACATAAAGGGTCTGATGGTAATAAACACAATTAGTTTCGGACTGACAGACGCGTTGCTGTAATATGTATGTAATAAGTACATTTGTCTCCGACAAAAAAACAAGTACATTGCCATTTAAAAGAACTATGTCTCCTTCTTGGTTTGGTTTACACAAGGGAGACATGACCATAATAATTGTTAAAGTAGAACTCCTTTTTTTTTCTTTTTCTTTTTTTTTTTAATAAACGGTCATAATTAAATTATATTAATTTTTTTTATTGAGATAGACAAAATAGAAAATGTGAGAGAAATAAAAGAAGAAGAGAGAAATAGAAAGAGAGAATTTTAGATATTCCAAAAATCTTTACCAACCACAATAGCGTCACTACCTCCTTCCTTAAAGTGTTTTTGTTAGAAGCACATGGCAATTTTTAATATAAATGCAAGTGAGCAATTGGAAAGCACTTCTAAATTTTTCTATAAAAATAGACTAGAAATACTTTTGATGACCAAATTATTTTTAGTTATTTTAAAAATATTTTCAAACAAGAGTATATATCAATAATCAAGGTTTTTATTATTATTATGTTTAAGTCTGTACTGAATTTTTTGTTGGACAAACGATATTATCTACGCTACGAAGGTGGAAGTGTGGAGTAAACCTCAAAATAGATCAACCATAATAATATGATTCAAATTTATCTTTTAATGAGAATCGAACCTAAGCCTGTACTGAACTTAGAAACGTATAATTACTCTTCAGTAGTCGAAATTACTCGTATCATTTCCATGCATATGCTTTGGCATGCATAGATAATCTCATCATCTTTCGATGTTGTATTTTTTTATTTTATATTTTTGTAAGGGAGATAGAATGAGAGACGATCCCACTATCAGCTAAGATCCATAAGTTATAAAATAAAAAGGGTCACCGCATTTTATATCACAAAGTTTAGGGGCCGTTTGTAAAATAAGCCACAAAGTTTTAATTCTTGCATATTACACCGTGCTTTTTAAATTGCACTAATTTAACTATTTTCTTAATTTAACAATGGGGAGAGTATAGCCTTAACTTCATAATGAACTAACAAAAATGTGGTTTAAATTCATCATTGGCAAGTGAAAAGAAATACACTAGACTATAGTATTAATTGATATCATTAGTGAACCTTTCAAACATATAACAAATAAATATGTCTCAGACGACTACCACTAAAACAAAATCTTGAATGCATGCATATAGTTTTATAATATATCAACGTAAATATATGTATCAACCACGTTTAGTTTGAATGAGGGATCCTCTTCGGATTCTCTTTGTGAGGATCCCGATGATCTTTCAATCGTGTCCGTTCATCGTACATCATGCGGTCAGAAATTATTGTAAATTTTTTTATTTTGAAATATAATATGAACAGTACTTAAGAAATTTGACTACACAATATACGATAAATAGACACGATTAAAACATTCTCGAGACCCTCACAAAGAGGATCCGAAGAAGATCCTCATTCATTTAGTTTAGTTCCTACTTGAATATGTCTCGAACTTGCCTCTACCCTCTACCATGAGTTGGTCTACGGGCAAATAATTAAGTATGATTTTTTTTAATGAATAAACATGATTGTTTATACGTTAAAACTTTTCATAAATCAAATCCATTGAAAACTTGGTGTACGCAAGCATTGGGAAAATTATAAGAAAATTGTAATATTCTTCTAAAAAGCATACAAAGAATTTAGCTGAGCTACAGATATCTCGCTCTCTTTAAGAAAATTCAAACCCATTGCGGATTGACAAAAGTTCACGAATCGATGCAGCAATATAGTTCTTGACTTGTACCCTTCAAGACACAATAGCTAACAAAATTATGTTTAACTCAAACATTTATGCACAAAAGAGAAATGTTTAAAGCTCAACCATAAGAACCCCTTTCTTTGGCCAATATAAGTAAAAGATAGAAAGTATAGAGGAATAAAGATTGTAGTTGTTAGGAAATTGGTAGTAGGATCATATATAAAAAGATAATGGAAAAATGCTAATAATTATATATTTATTATCACCCTTAGACCATCTCCAATGGTTGGGCTAAAAGCCAAATTTTTTAGCCTGGAAAATTTAGTTTTTAGCTCAGAAACAACTTTTCTGCTCCAATCGTTCTAGCCTAAAATTTTAGCCCGGGATTATTAAAGAATGAACTTATGCTATTTTTTTTGTTAAATTAATTTTTTTTTTAAAATAAATATGTAGACTATAGTAAATTAATTTTATGAACATTTTAATTTAAAAAAAATTTAAATTCCGATAAATATTGAGTGGAGTCCACTCCAATTTCTGGACTAAATTTTGGGGGGAATTTGGCATTGGTTTAGCATTTAGCCCAAAATTTCCCCTTGGGTTGGAGTGGGTTTGAGAGGAAATTTTGGGGGATAATTTGGCTTTTAGCCCACCATTGGAGTTGGTCTTAGACCATCTCCAATGGTTGGGCTAAAAGCCAAATTTTTTAGCCCGGAAAATTTAGCTTTTAACCCAGAAACAGTTTTTCTGCTCCAACCGTTCTAGCCTAAAATTTTAGCCCGGGATTATTAAAGAATGAATTTAGGCTTTTTTTTTTGTTAAATTAATTTTTTTTTAAAAAAAATAAATATGTAGACTATCGTAAATTAATTTTATGAACATTTAATCTAAAAAAATTTAAATTCCGATAAATATTGGGTGGAGTCCACTTCGATTTCTGGGCTATTGGGGAGAATTTGACATTGGTTTAGCATTTAGCATTTAGCCCAAAATTTCCCCTTGGGTTGGAGTGGGTTTAGGGGGAAATTTTGGGGAGTAATTTGGCTTTTAGCCCACCATTGGAGTTGGTCTTAGTTAATAGAGTAATAAACACAAATTAACAAAGAAAAAAATGTTACAAGAGTTACAAAAGATGAAAAGTTAAATTGTCACATCCCCGCCCGGCCGGACCACCCATCCTGGGAGTGCTCGTGTGAGTTCCCATAAACAAAATCGTGAGGGCATGTTCAGGATCCAAAGCGGACAATATTGTGTTACGGTGGTGGAGCGGGCCCGGGAAGTGGTCCCCCTCAGGCGGGGATGTGACATAAAGTCTCCATCTTAATTTTCCACTAATCACAAATACTCACAGTTATAATTAATTTAATTTTAATTTGCAAAAATCACTTGAAAAATAACTACAAAAAATCAGAAGAAAATACAGAAATCACTTACTAAAAAATTTTTGGTCTTTAAAGCTTTCTATTTTGATATTTCAGTCTTGAATCACGAGTAGTAGTTGTGTATTTTTGGAGTTACCATTTACACATCAAATAGGTTGGAGATGATGATATATCTCTTAACCGATAATGACGGGTTGGTTTGGATCGATTCTTGATTTGTGTAAAGACAAAAATACATAACAAATTTCTCTCCTAAAAGCTATAGAACATAGTACAAATATGAGTGATTGCTCAAAGAAAAGCACAAACGAAGAAGTCTAAGGAGAGCACCAAAGCAGTAGCGGCTGCCTTCTCCAAATGGCGCCCCTTGTTCTTCTCCAAAGGGACTCTTAAACTAATCAAGTTTGCTTTCATATGGTGAAAACTTGTAAATAACTAATCATTTATATTATTACATGTATTAATTATAATTAAAAAATTAAATTAAATATATGCCAGTCGATTAGAGTTGGTGCGGTTCGGTTTAACCACAGAAAATTATAAAATAAAATAAAAATAAAAAAACCAAACCAAACCAAACCAAACCAAACCAAGCCAAGCTCCCAATGTCTTCAGACGGTTCAGTCGGTTTTTTTTTTTTTTAAATGCCCAACCCTAACATCAACCCTGCCAAAAATGGATTTGTTGCGTTTTCATGTTTTAGAAAATCTTGTGACAAAACTATTGTGTGACATCCCACATCGCCCAGGGGAGTGATCCTTAAATGTATATTCCCATCCCTACCTAGCACGAGGCCTTTTGGGAGCTCACTGGTTTCGGGTTCCATCGGAACTCCGAAGTTAAGTGAGAAGAGGGCTTGAGCACTCCCATGATGGGTGACCCACTGGGAAGTTGCTCGTGAGTTCTCAAAAACAAAACCGTGAGGGAATGGTAAGCCCAAAGCGGACAATATCGTGCTACGGTGGTGGAGCGGGCCCGGGAAGTGGTCTCCCGAGTCGAGATGTTGCATATTGTGTATTTTAATTGCCTTTCGGAGCTAGGGTTTGCTAAGATTATAAACAACTTGTAGGGTTGTATTTGATAATATAAATTTTGCTATTTCTCTCATACTTCTAGTGAATTCCAAATTCTGTGCTCTCTTAAGAATAACGTTGTTTATTTTTCTTTGTCACGTTGCATCATTAGCGATCAAGATAAAAAACTACAAGCAATCGGTTTCAGGCATCCCTTCTTACTACCAACAGCGGTTAACCAACGGCACATTCACCACTTACACCCTCCCCTCCAAGTTTACAAGGATAACATTTTAAACAAATAAAACCTTAACTTTCCAATTATTTATATTTATCTAATCACATCTCTCCTAAATAACTAATTTACAAATCATTTTTATATAAATTCGATCATTCCAGAGACGAGAGGTTACGTGTCCCCTGTCCCTCATCTCCACGTGTCACGCCCACAAGCCATTTCGGCGCCCCTGCTTCGCTGTCTGAAGTTATGAACAGCACCGATCCAGAAATTGCAGATTATCAGATAGGCTCGACGCCTCCACGCGAAAATTAAAAATTAAAAAAAAATTGAAAAATCCTTATTATTTCGCTATCTCACAGGCTGTCGACCAATCACGTTCCACATTCCAATCCACTTTGGACCGGCAACCGGCTACAGCCGGTTCCCCATCTCTCATCAACTTCGATATATATAATTACAACAACCGCTTCAAAGTCCCGTGTCAAATATTACTAGTCTACTGCTACTTAGCTACGCTGTACCAGTGAGCTTAATTCGGGAGCAAATATCGACCGTCCGATCATCTCAACCATGCCGATCCGGAACATCGCCGTTGGCCGACCTGAGGAAACGTACCACCCGGACGCGTTGAGGGCTGCGTTAGCCGAGTTCATCTCGACGCTCATCTTCGTTTTCGCCGGCGAGGGCTCCGGAATGGCATTCGCCAAGCTAACCGATGACGCCGCAAATACTCCCGCAGGCCTCGTCGCCGCCGCGCTCGCCCACGCCTTCGGCCTCTTCGTCGCCGTCTCCATCAGCGCCAACATCTCCGGCGGACACGTCAACCCGGCCGTCACCTTCGGCGCCTTCATCGGTGGCAATATCTCTCTCCTCCGCGGCATCCTCTACTGGATCGCCCAGCTCCTCGGGGCCACCGTCGCCTGCGGCCTCCTCAAGTTCGTCACCAACGGCCAGGTAACTTTCTCATCTCCCACTTCCCACTCCCCGTTCCCCGTTCCGTTTTTTAGGTAAATAAAAAAGTGACTTAGCTACGGGTTTTGATACGGTGCTTCGCAGACTACCGCTGCTTTCTCCCTGTCCTCGGGAGTGGGAGTGTGGAACGCGTTCGTTTTCGAGATCGTGATGACGTTCGGACTGGTCTACACGGTCTACGCGACTGCCATTGACCCGAAGAATGGGAGCGTGGGGACAATCGCGCCCATCGCGATTGGTTTCATCGTTGGCGCCAACATTTTGGCGGGTGGGGCTTTTGACGGAGCGTCCATGAACCCGGCCGTTTCTTTCGGGCCGGCGTTGGTGAGCTGGAGCTGGCAGAACCACTGGGTCTACTGGGCCGGGCCTTTGATCGGCGCCGGGCTCGCCGGGCTCATCTACGAGTTCGTGTTCATCGGCAACAGCGGCCACGAGCAACTGCCCTCCACTGACTACTAATTGATTAAGCCTTAGTTAAGCTTAATTAAGGAGTCTTAAGATTTAATTACATTTGCATGCATGATGGGTTTTGTACCTTTGAGTTCTTGTGTTTCGTTAATTTCATCAAGAAAATCATGATCATGATCGATGTCGTCATGAGTTGATCTCCATCGTTGATCTCCATCGTTGATTTGTAATTTGTTTTGCATGCTCTGTGCTGTTGTGTCACTAAATTCCATTGATCTTTTGTATTTACTGTATTTTAAATTCTTCTTAATTTCATCGACTGCTAGTTTGGGCCCTACGAGAATGATCGGAGAAAAGCAAATACTCAGGTGGGGTTTAGTTAAAAAGCTAAATCTGGAACCTCACTTAATTTTTTGGTTAGCTTTAACCTACCCCTTAAGGTAAAAACCACCCTGCATGCAACTGATTTGACCCTTGCCACCGACAATATAATGTTTTCTTGGATTCCTTCGTATAAGTAATATTACACTAATCACATTTTTAAACTAAGCTGATGAATCAAATTACAGAAAACTTAGAGCATACTTGCCAGGCTATTAAATTCTTATTATCATTATGACAGTTCATAAATAATACATCATCATTACTTGATAATTTAAAATAATTTGTAATAAAATCAGTTGTCTTATAGTATATAACTAACGAGAATTAACGTATGCATGCATTTGTGAGGTTGGATTTCAAATAAATTGTTGTAACGATGTCATCAATTGATCCCTTTTTTAATGAAGAAAAAAAAAACTTAAACATGCATCTGATGATGTGTCTGTGTTTGATTCCTCTTTTTCAATGTGTAGTTTGAATAGAAATGGTATTCATATTTTGTGCAATACATTGGAATCAGATTGAATCTATATATTGAAATTAAGCAAGCAGAAAACATACATTTTGAAACTAATTACAACTAGCTACAAGATACTCTTAATTATAAATGGTATATATTTAGAAGTAATATTACCAACCTAGCTAAAGCTAAGCTTGGCCAACATAAATACAATTAGACACACACACACACACACACAACTATTTTACATGTGACTAGCTATGGAGGAGTAAATTCAACTCAACTGCATGCATGATGCATCTTCAATATATATATTTGTGCACGCAATGCAATGCATGGTGATTCAATTAATATATCATGTGGCCTTGGAAATTAAAAGAGCTTTTGATATGATATAGTTTTTAGGTCGGTGGATATATTTGATTTCACGTGGACGGCCTGAGGTGGGTGTTATTCACGTTCAGGTCCACCATAAAAATGAAGACTGCCCATATGAAATGTATGCGACTAAATTAAGTTAAAAGATGGCACTATAACGTTTCGTTCTAACAAAATGATGATTAGTGTAAGTTTTCTAACACACATCAATGTTTTAGTAAATCAGGTGTAAACGTGTTCGATATAAGTTGTTCTCAAACTGAAAAAAGGGTACTATACCCTACTTTCACTTCATAGAAGTCCGAAAATGATCTGTGTGGAGCGAATTCATTTTTCATTTCACGTAATAATACATTACCAGATTTAAAAACGAGGACATAATAACCTTAAATCCGTTTTGTATAAAACCCGCTCTCGACATTCCTAATCATCATCTCACTCTCAATCATGAAATGTGAAGCAATCAGAGCACGTGAGAATTGTGGACCGTTTTTGCAGTATCATCACCATCACCAAATGGATGGACCCTAAACCTGTCCTTTTTGTCTGCATCTTTTGGCTACCTTTGCGGGGTGCTATTCTTTTCAAACTCTAAAGCTCAAAAGCTTACTCCTCTTTTTTCTCCATTGAAATGCTTCGACGTGTTAATTACCCTTCTTTCTCTCACTGCAATATTCACTACTGCCGGACTATACTGTTGGATGCGGCAAGTGGCGAAGTCCATGACGTGGTTCCAAGGTGGCCACAGATTCCATGCTACCTTCCAAACTTGAAAGATCTTCAAAAGAGATTTTGGGGTCCCATACCTCACCGCCCATATGAGTTTCCTTTTCAATCACACTGTTTAAAGATAATCACCGTTTTGATTATAAGCGGTATTATCATTCCTAGTTACATTAAATTTAAGAGAGCGGAAACGGAGGAGAGTTTGAATACGAAGACTGAATAAGTCAAAAAAAAAATCAAGTAACTACTATTAAGGGAAGCGGATATTGAGAGTTTGAATATGAATGTCCATTCATATGGTTCTATACAAATATCTTGGTTTTAAAAACTGTATATATTAAGACGGTTCTATACAAGTATCTTGGTTTTAAAAACTGTACATATTTACTAGCATGGTCCACCACTTACAGTATACGTTTGAAATTTCAAAATATATATAAATAGTAGTAAACGTATTCTCTACTCTCTTATTCTCATCCCCTTCCATCCTCTCTTCTCACACATTACTTTTTGTCTTATCATTTTTACAAAAAAATCAATATAAAATGTTAACGTGATTTAACCATGATCGTTTAAATATGAGGGGACGGAAGGGTAAAGAAATTAGAAGGGTAAAGAATCCTACTCCGTTTCGATTACCATGCAAGGATATGACATTTCACCCTTCCATGTGTGTATTTTTCCTCTCTTGGAATGTTGCGTGTGTATATATATATATGATCATGTAATGGTTTGAATTTAGACAAAAGGGTCATGGAATCGACTTTAGAGCGAAGCAGGTGAATTTTTTTTTCTTGACTCAAAATTTTACATCTCTTTGGCTCTTATAGCTAATTAATAATAGCGCAACATTTTGGTCCAGTGGCGTTCCAATTGTGGCCTTTGTCCCACTAAGTTGATCGGATTATTAATTATAAACCATAAACCATGAGTGCGGTTGGTAAGGTGGGGATGGACCGTGATGAACAAACGAATGAGGATCCTTTCTCTATTATCTTTGTTAGGATTCTGGATATTATTTAATTTCGTCTATTTATCGTATATTGTACGGTCAGAAATAATTTTAAATTTTTTTATTTAAAATTGAACACAAATAGTACCCGACAAAAACTGACAACACGATTTATGATAAACGAATACGATTGAAGGATCATCTGGATCCTCACAAAGAGGATCCGGAGACGATTCTCATTCTAAACAAATATCAAATATCTGCGTGTGGAGTACGAGTTCACAGGCACCCGTCACGTCATATTTTAATAAAATAATGATATGTGTAAGGTTTTCAACACATGACATGTATCAAACAGGGATGTTATATGAAGGTGAACTCGTTTGATGTAAAATGCTCTTTTTTTTTAGGAGAAGGACTTAAATATAACTGGTTACCATCACTATGGTGTCGTAATCCAATAACGTCATGTTATGTGTAGGATTTTCTTCATATAATACAATATTATTGAATCGGTACGTTACATGATTGTAAACATGGCAAGTTAATTTACTATATTAGAGCCACCGTGTACGTATGGCCTTAAATATTCTTGTTCTCCAACAAATATTAGACCATTTGAATGGTTGAGGGAATTATATAAGGAATTAGGAGGCACTGTGGGTATCCATATGGTCATATGGACAATTTTAATAGTGAGGGAATTATGGGAAAAGGACAATTTTAATTACTCTAGTCCCCCATGCCAACATTCTAAATTAAAGTATGAATTAACCCAACCGAAAATAGTCCCACCCATCTACTGGGATAAGTTATCCCAACTAATGAAAAAGTTTAGACAACTTTGTTTATATGATTGTTTGGGATATGCATAAAAGGGGAAGGCAATCATCATTCTTTATATAATAAAAGGCCACCTCATCCTAATTTTGGTAGGAAGCCTCCTGAAATGCTTCCTTTCACATTCATATATTATATCTTATTAATTCACTTCTTACAAAACTGTAAACCACGTTGATATTGACAATAAAATGAATAACTCAACTCTTTATAGTCTTTTCAAAGTTGATTGATTTTCCGACATCTAAGACAACTTTCACATCTTCATAATCAAGTGTTTCTACAAGTTACCAACATTAGTGAAATACACAATGCAAAAACTTGCGGATGCAGTATTGCTAAAATTCCTTCCAACGGGTTTCTCCAAACGACCAAATTTGATGTTCTTGTAAGAATTATTGTTAGTATCTATAACTTTGTCAATTACATCACTTGATTCGAGTGATCTTGCAGCCTTAATATGGTTAGAATAATAGAGTCTTAACTCTGATTAACCAATTACGTAGTCCATATTTGGTAAGACTTAATATGGTGGGATATAAAATATATAATTGTGATTATGGTACTTATATTTTTTCTCATTAAATGCAAACTAATAGAGAACTAAGAAAGAGCCATTCTTACCCAACAACATAATTGACCATTTGTCAACCCGCATAAACGACATAATAAATTAACTCTAATGTCTAATGCCTGCAAAACACAAAAAACCTATAATATGCTATTGACATGATAATTTGGATTGTTATGAAAATGAAAAATTTTAATAAAACACATGTATAGTGACATGTGTTATGCTTCAAACGCTACATGGCCATTCCAAATTCAAATTTTTTGGGTTTAATTTAAGTTGGTGTTGTACTATATGTGTTTTTTTTATGATCTCGATTCATTTACATGTTTTCAATGTAATTGGTTTGGCTTATTTCCATCAAGACCCTATGTCTTACAGTTCTTAGATATGGTTGGGTCATGGTTTATTTTCATTCTGTTAAAGTTTGGGCATATATGATCAACAAAGCATAGTCAAGTTTTAAATTAAACTATACATGTACATAGTTCAGGTTTGAGGTAGGACAATCTAGAGTCCGAGTTTGAGACCTGAGGCTTGGGTCCGAAAATTGGGGCATGGCTACCGTCCTCTTGCACTCTCAACCTCGTACCAGTCCTCCCACTATGCGTTCATTCATCTTCTTAGGAAAACATCTTTTTGTAAGAATTACTGAATCGCTATTTACGAGGTGTCAAACCTTCTCATTGATGAGAGCTCTTAGGAAAGATCAGTCTGTTATTCTTAGAGTAACTTTTATTCGTTGAGCGACGACCCTTCCACTCGGCACCGTCGGATCACTAAGGCCAACCTTCGTCCCTCTCGAAGAATGGGTCTTTCAGTCAAGCTTCCTTTTGCCTTTGCACTCGAGTGCCAATCTTTGGTTTAGACTATTAGACTACTGAGACCATCT